TGCAGATATTCATGTTGTGGTAATATACTTCTTTCCTTTTACAGTGGTGATGGTAACCATCCTCATGCTCAAGAACAGAAACAAACAAGATCATTTCGTTTCAAGTATGCTTTAGGATGAATCATCTTTCATGTTACAGATAAATTTCCATGAACTGTGACCGGACAAGTTCATCAGGTTTAGTAAAACAGAATAGTTTTGACTTTATGCTTATGAAGAAGTGCAAAGTAAAATTGAACATATGTAGCTACACTACTGTATTTTAGTATGTCGGCCACAACTCTCTAAATTATGGGAATGCTCAACACGCTATAGCAAGCAATATCTGGTGCTGCTCATGCCCAATGTCGATTACAATCCAAATTGTTAGTACGCCATATTGCTTCCTTTGATAAATGACAAGAATATCATGTACCATGTCCTTGTACAGTGCTACCGATTAATAACAAATATGGCAATCTTCAACTCATCAGTGACAAGAATACTGTTGCAGATACAAGAAAACAGAGAAAGTACTGACTCGAAACCTATGACCCTCAGTATCAGTAATGTTACACATTATTCTCACAGAATATCTAGGTACCATTGAAATGTACTACAACTTGTGCCAAAGACCACAGATCCTAATAAATCATGGCGGCTTCTATCTCCTGTCAGTCATTCTTTCTTGCAATTTCAAGGAAACAAAAAACTGATAGAAGTCAGTAAAGAGGAATTTTATGTTATTCAGCTATGGGAATGAAACAGACAATAAGAAAGAACGATAACCATCTTCCAAGCATGCATTTGACCAAAGAATCACCTGGTTAAAATAAGGCCAGGTTTCCATATTTTGAGCTCGTAGTGTGTCGGCATTAATTGCCTGGTAGATCTCTCCATTGGGCCGTAGAAATTTTGGTCTCTGAATCAAATAACTCACCGTGAATAATGCTCCGATGATCTCATAAGCAATACCACACGTTGCAGTTAACTAGTACGTAAAAAGCAAAAGGAAAAACACCTACGATTACAAATTTCAATGAAACAGTATAACTAATTGGATATGTTTCCAGAAAATTAGAAAAATGCATTATCGTACGCATGCATTTGCATTATATAAAAACAAAACAATCCACCCAAACCAATGTTTAGTGTGTAAAACATGATAAATAGGATACAAAAGGAGAAATAAAACAAGGAGTAATAACAAAGTCAACAAACAGACAGAAGCAACTAGGGACCAAGTTCTACAGGAGAAACTAAGCTGGCGCGATAAGCCAACTTAAGAAAACAAGAGAAAGAAGTGACCTGGACTTGCAGAATTGATCTCGAAGTAGTATAGATGAGCTCCCATTTTCCATTAATTAGATCCGATTTGAAAGGCTCCTTAACCGTGTTCACTGCTTCTAGTTCACGTGCAATCTAACCATCACAAACGATCGGGACAGGATGTTAAAGGCAGCAGACAACTACATATGACCCATTTTAGACCGTAGCATACGAAAAGCAATGAAGAAGAAGCATGCTAATTCCAACTCGCTAAATAGATTAGCTACGATAAGCTCCTATGCAAACATGAATCAACTTCAACCTTTCAAAATCGTCCTATAACGAACAGTTCAAGAAGGGGAACGACCTGATCGATCCTTTCTTGGTCGTCGGGCGTGGCGTCGGCGCCTCGATCGAGAGGCGCAATCGCCTCGAGCAACTCTTCCTTGATCTCCTCCGGGGACCTGGCCTTCTTCTTGAGGAAGGAGGGGAAGAAGGAGACACCGGCCCGCCATCGCAGCGAGGCGACCTCAGGCGGAGCGGCGGCCCCCGTCTTCCTGGGCCACCTCGAGGAGGATGGGAAGGGGAGCTGGGGGCGGACGAGGTGGAGGCTTCTTGGAGCCGGGAGCGAGGCGGAGGGGGGAGCCAGGTGGGAAGAAGCCATCGCCATGGAGTCGGGCAGCAGGGAGGGGGTGGGAGCTTGTGGCGCCGCGTACGGCGACGGGCACGAGCGGATAAGCGTGCTCCCTCACGTCGCCACCGGAAAGTAGAAAATGATGTTTTCGCAAGTCTACCCTTCGCCTAACAGCGAAATAACATATTTACCCCCGCTATTTAACAAAAGATTAATAATTCATCGTACTTTAAT